ATAGGTGGTAGGCTGAATTTGGCCCTTGGGCCATCGTTTGCTGACTTCGGTTTTGGAAGGAGAAATATTGGGAACTAGCTGTGGTTATGGGAAATATTAATCATGCTCTGTTAACTGTGATTGCTCTGTTCTGATTAAAGAAAGGACAGTCTAACCTGGCTGGGGATTGTATACCTTTGGGACCGGGAGTCAACCTTGGGCCTGTGAGTTAACCTTGGAATGCTGTCCATCCTCATTCAGGAACTGCCTGTTACCATGGAAAGATGAAGAAACTTGATGCCCACACAAATGCGTCCCAACCCAGTCTGCATGTCCTACTTCCTCGTGCCGCCTGTAATCTCTACTTCTCCATTGTAATCTTTGTCCTACCCTATATAAGCATCTGGTTTATGGGATGCTGCAGAGCAGATTTTTGTGGATGACCTGCTGCTCTCCCATACTGCTGACATTATTGGAATAAATGGTCCTATATGAATCAGCCTTGTCTCTGCTTAATTGGCTTAAGTAGGCAGCCCAGACCCATTGGGTGTCTGGTTTCACTGTGACTGGGATGAAGCCAATCAGGCACTCACTTTAGCCACAAGATTTATAGGAGTGTTGTCAGTGGAAATAGGGTTTTTCCACAGCCACGAGAAAAGCATTTGAGGGACCCACACCTAGGAGAATGAGATATAGTGGTAAGATTTATTGGAATGAAAAACAAAGGACTGTTCCCTAGGTGCCAGGTGTCTCCACACCGGGTGGCCTAGCTCTATTTCGCTGAAATAAGTCCTGGGCCTGGGGAGCATAAGTATCAACCAGGAAGGCTAGGACCCAAACTGTAATGTCATCACCCAGGGCTCCTGCTGCACTCAGGCCTGCTCCTGGAGCCCCACAGATGCTACATCCGCCGATGAATGGGTGAACACGTGCTACCAAGAATTATATTACCTCAGGCTCGGGAGAGAGCAGGCTTTCTTTCAGACTAACCAATCTCTTTCCCAGTCCTTCTTGAGCTTGTGCTGGGTCCTCCCCCATCCAGGTTGATCCTTTTCTCAGAATTTCCAGTCTAGTGCCGCCCTTTATGTGACCATTTTGGCTCCTGCTGTGTCTTCCTCAAAGTTCTGCTTCGTCATCTGGTTTCTGCTGCCCATGCGCTAGTAAAGGAGTTTCTCCCACTCCGCCCTCAAACTCCCAATAGCGGCTGTCCCAGGGAGATTCTTCCTGCCTGCTCTGGAATTAAGTCCCCTTGGTGGAGGGATTGGCATTCCCTGGGGGCCTGAGTGTGCTGTGGCTTCCCAGTGAATCAGGCTTAACATCCGAGTCCATTTGTTCCCTTTCTTAACTAGCTACCTTGCTAACAGCAAGCAAGATAAGTAATATCTATCTTGCAATATTTTAAAAACCAAGATCAATACAATAGAAATCCCTCTGCGCAAAATATCAAACAAGGCCTGGATGAGGGTGGGCTTGTGAGGTGTGCCAAGGCTTAGGGCCTGCGATGGCCAGGCGATTGCCAAGCCTGTGTTACCTGCTCATCTAGGTAAGGATGGCTTATAGTGTCCGAAGGCAACTTCAAACAGTCCCTTAGGATAGATGGGTGCTGCTTTTAGAAGAAAGGAGTATTGTTTGTCTGCCCTGGCACTAAGTGCTTTTATTGTACTACATGTATATTTTATTTTCTTACTCTTTTTCCCTCATAGCAAACCTCACTTTATAATGAGGAACATGAAGAACAAAATAAGGTGCCCAAGATCACACAATCTTATGTAGAATCTGAGGCTAGGCTTTGGTCCTCTTTGGACTCCAGAGCATGAATTCTTGAATTTTTGGCATCATCTAAAGCCGTGGCCTGTTAGAAATTTAGCCAAAGGCCGGAGCTATTAGTTGTCCTCTGTTAATGAGTGGCCCCAGGTGGCTAGTCTCAGTAACCCCTTCCTGGCTCTTTGTTCTGGTTGGCAGATGGCTTTCAGAAGTTGGGAGAGCCAGAAGCCCTCACCCACTTTTAGAATTAGCCCCTTGTTTCAAAGCAGCAAGAGATTGGTGCATATTTCCAAATTAAATTACAGATACTGCAAGTGTTAAGTGGCAGGTGAGCTGCACTTTAAATAGATCACATTAATTCTGGCAGTGGAAGCGGAGCCCTGCTGGGATAATTCTTATCATCAGCATCTCTCTGGCAAGCTTTAGAAGGATTCTGTAGCGGTAAGCAATTTGGGAAATTGAGAGGTGAAAACACACCTTCAAGTGTTTAATGTGCATTCAAGGTCAGAGGGAGGTGACTGCAGTTTTCAAGAGAGATGGTGGTGAAAGTCACTTGATGCTAAAGGTGATGGATATCCAGATGGTTGTCTGGTGGGCCCACTCAGAGTACTGCTTTCACCAAATTCCCCCTGCTCCGGTTTCCGAGAGGCTTCAAGTGGAAAGAAGGCTGTTAGCACACTTGTGCAGTTTGGGTTTGGGAAAGGGATTAGTTTCACATTTAGGCTTCGAGACAGAGGATCGTCCTGAGTGAACTCCCCTGTTGGTGGTTTTTCCAGTCATTCTCGGGACATTTATTGTAAATGATCCCAGAGGTTGGCACGATCCATCCAAAAATATGTATGCACACTCTTCCGTACATACTCATTTAGATACTGTTAACAGAAAAAGGGAAAGAAGAAACAACCCAAATGCTTTCATATGAGAAGGGTAAACGATGGTTAGTCATCATGGACTATGTATTGTGCTCAGTGCTTTACCGCCTTTTTCTCCAGTTTCCCCAGTAACCCGGGTATTCTGTACTTGGGGCCTTTTGTTAAGGGAGAGGAATCTAAAACATATCATGTTTAAGTGACTTGCCCATGGTCATTCAACTGAACAATCTTTTCTTTCTTTTTTTTTAATTTTTAATTTTATTGATTTTTTAGAGAGGAAGGAAGAGGGATAGAGAGCTAGAAATGTCGATGAGAGAGAAACATCGACCAGCTGCCTCTTACACACCCCAACCCAGGGATGTGCCCACAGCCAAGGTACATGCCCTTGACCGGAATCGAACCTAGGACCTTTCAGTCCACAGACCGACGTTCTATCCACTGAGCTAAACCTCTTTCGGCCTGAACAATCTTTTCACCTGTTGTTCTGCCCACTGGTTTGGAAGTTTGTTGGGGACGAGTCCTTCTAGGCTTTGCCTTTTAGGCCATCATCTCGCCTAGTCCATGGCTCCTGGTTAAATGGTAGTCGATGTGGCTGAGCTGAAATATCAGAGTGAACATATTAACCCGACGTCCAGTGTGTGATGTGTATATGCGCATCCTTCTGGAGGGAAGATTCACAGACCTTGCCACATTCTCAGAGGGGTCTTGGGAGCTGTTATGCTCCTGGATTAGAATCCTTGTCTAGTAGCAGACTCAGTATTTCCTCTCTTAGTATTGTATATTAAGCATTTGTGAACATGATCATTTTAAAATATATTTTATTGATTTTTTTACAGAGAGGAAGAGAGAGGGATAGAGAGTTAGAAACATTGATGAGAGAATCATTGATCAGCTGCCTCTTGCATACCCCCTACTGGGGATGTACCCGCAACCAAGGTACATGCCCTTGACTGGAATCGAACCTGGGACCTTTCAGTCCGCAGGCCAACGCTCGACTGAGCCAAACCAGTTTCAGCGAACATGATCATTTTGAAGAATGTAGACACCCTCCTCACTTGGCAAGGCAGTATGGTTTGTAGTTCGACAGCTCTGAGTTCCATTCTGCTGTATTGCTTACTGTGTATTGCTGCGTGAGTTCCTTCACTTGTCTAGGCCTTGGACCTTGCCTTTGATATGGACTTGACCTTGGTGGTTATGAGGACTGAGTTCAGATATAAAATGTTTACTACAATGGCTGGTGTATACTTAATGCTCAATAACTAGTATTGGCTGTTGCTGTTGTTACTGTTATTGGCAGTAGGTAAAAGTGTTGATGTGAGGTAAAGAAAATTGATCACAACATTAGATATATACTAAAATTACAACTAGGAAAAAAATTTGTGTGGGCATGGATAAAAAAGGGGGGATGTGAGGAGGTACTATGACTATTTTATGGATAAAAACAAACTTTCTTAGCTTTCCCTTAAAGCCTTAAATCTGTTCCTTTCTCAGACCTAAGGAACTCTGCCCTAAGAAATTGGAAATGAGGACAACTACTTATGTACAAGGATGTTCAAAGCAGTATATAGGAAAAATTGGTAATATATAATGTTCCCCACTGTAGAGAAACAGTTAAATAACAGGGAAGCCATCAAAAATCATATTTCCAAAGATCTTTAAATGATATAGGAAAATGTTCATGATATAGACGACAAAAAATAAATGAGGGTACAAGACTATGTGTGTATTTGTATATATATGTATGTATACATATGCACCCATTTACCATACACACAATACAATGGTATATGAGTTATTTGCTATAACAAATTACCACAAAGCTGATGGCTGAAAACAACATAAATTAATTTTCTTATACTTACGAAGGGCTTAGTTCAAAGGCGATTTCACTGGATTGAAGTAAAGATGACATCAGGCTGGTTCCTTCTGGAGGCCACAGGGTAGAATCTTCTGGCTTCTGGCATTCCTGGCTGTCACTGGCTGCATCATTCCAATCTCTGCTTCCCTAGCCCTGTCACCTGCTCCTCTGTCCGACCTCCCTCCACCTCCCTCTTATAAAGATAATTGTGATGATTATGGCCACAGAGACTGCCCAGAATAATCAATGTCCTCTCCTTCTCAAGACCCTTAATTTAATCACATCTGCAAAGGCCCCTTTGCCATATAAACTAACACTCACAGGTTCCAGGATTAAAATTTGACTATCTTTGGGGGTTATAAATCATCCTATCACAGATGTTGATTTTGTATAAAAAAGAAAAATACAGAAAGAAAGAGTGGAAGGAAATACTTGAAGATGTCAACAATGGCCATCTCTGGATGGTGGACTTGGGAGTCATTTTAATTTTCTGTATAGTCTTTGGTATCTTTCTTTTCTGTGTTAAGGAAGTAGCTCTTTTACAGTCTTCAGAGATGCTCAGGGAACATTAATAAAGGTGATGTGCACCCAGGCAAAGTGCCACAGCGCCTGTCCCGCTGTCTCCCCAGAGCCCGTGTTCTGGTTCTACGTGAAGGAGGTCCTCAGCAAGCACGAGCTCCAGCGCTTCTACGCCCTGCGCTACATCACCTCGGACGTGGGCCGCGGCCGGGCCTGGCTGCGCTGCGCCCTCAACGAACACTCGCTGGAGCGCTACCTGCACATGCTCCTGGCCGACCGCAGCAGGCTCAGGTACCCGCTGATGGGATTCTGGGAGGCGGGGAAAAGGTGTAGATGAGTGGTTAAAACCACAGAACCTGGAGTCAGAAGCCTGGATTTACATTCTAGGTGCCCCCTTTCCCTCCCCTCCTCCTCTCTACTGCTCACCCTGCTCACAGTCCCATTTGTTACATGAGAGAAGGCCTGTAAAAGGCTCAGCACGGCCCCTGCATATAGCAAGCACTTAAATGCTTATTATTCTTAAGGCTGCGGTGTGGAGAGGTCTATGGTTATAGATCACAGCCTGCTCCTCACTTCATGAAATTTGAATTCGGGCTCTTTTCAAGGTTCAGAATTTCTTTCTCTTTAGATATTGGATGTTTAGTGCCCAGTTTCAGGTTTTGTCTTACAATTCTTTCTGTTTTCTTTTTTGTTGTTGAGGTTAATCAGTATCAGTACCAAACGACTGAAAAAAATGTGGAAGTTTTAAGTTGGGAAGAGAAGTCATTTGTTATTAAAAAACAGGCCCTCCAATTTTATTGTATTTTCTTGATCATAAAGTTCACTCTGTCAGGTAGCACAGGCCAGGTTGTGCTGCCGTAACAAACATGAAGACCTTAGTGGCTTGAGACAGCCGAGTTTATTTATTCCCTCTGCTTCATGTCTCTTGTGGGTGAATAGGGATTCTCATCGCAGGGACCCAGGCTGATGGAGGCTCCATCTCTGTAAAGATGTGGTTGAACTAAGCACTGGCTCTTAAAGCTTCTGCCCAAAGTGATGCTTCACCTCCTCAGGGTAGGGAGATGTGGTTATGCCACAGCGATGGGGAGAGGGCACTGAATATGCTCAATACACTCAGCCACATTTTCTTCAGAAACATTGACATTCCTAACATTTTTCCTGTGCTCATGATGTTTATGATGTTTTCCTCTCTCTCCCAGTCTCTCTCTCTGACTTGGACTATTGTTTTTCCTTTGAGAATGGTAGACCAGACTTGTAGGGTTGTGGTGTTTTTTATTTTTTATTTTTATTTTTTATTGTCACCTGAAGATACAAAGGGACAGTGATCAATCCTGCCCTGGTCCCTTGAGTAACTTCTGCATCAGCAGTGCCCGCGTCCTTATCAGTGAAGTTCCATTTAGCTCAATAAGTTGGCATTTCATTAGTGCCGTGATGAGTTCCCTGTCTCAAGTCTCTCCCCAATTTCTTTTGCCCCTCGGATCACTTCTCCTCTGGAATTTATTAGGCATTCTGGGATCGTGTGCTGGGGCTCTCACAGATACCTTTGAAGTTCTCCCATTGATGCTACCTGGGGTGCTTTGTCCAATTCTGTGCTCAGACTCTGTGGGTCTGAAATATTATATAATAGGAGGGGTAGGCCAGGATGCCTAGTGCTGCCTGCATCTGTGTGCTGCCTGGGTCTGAGTTGGATATCTCTATGTACCTCCCGAGCATTAATCAGCCTTAATTAAGGAGAACATACTCATGTTCCTAAAAATGGATTCTAGTCAAGGTCTTTCCACCACATCATTTGAAAGTGGCTGAGTTGTACACTCCACATCAAAGTTGAATTAACAATGAGCAGTTGAAGTGAATCCAGATGTTAAGAATCATAGTTTAATTTACCTAAATCACTAGTCACTTTAATCTACTTCAATGTGGGAAAACCAAATTCATTTACATACATGAAAACTGACTCAGATATTTAAAGAATCAGAATTTGGGGGATCAGAGGTACTGTTGCCTTGCCAGCTTAGACCTGTGGTTTGTGCTTCCCCTGCCATTCTGCTGGCCCATGTACTGAACACACATGTCCTTTCTCTTTCTGTTAAGTTGTATTCAGTCACCTGTGTCCAGCCTCCTGCTGAAGCACAGCTCACTCCCAACTGACTGTTTTAGTGAAATTTAGCTCTGACTCCACTCATCTAGAGTTCTCTGACCTGGCGGGAAGTCAGATGGTTAAGGGTATTTGCTTGTTACCGCTTAGCAGGGGGCTGGATAAAGAGCTGGGAACTGGAAGGGGAGACCTGCTTTTGAGCTACATTTATTGCTGAATGACCTTGGACACACACTGTAGGCCTCTCTGGCCCCTCCCCCACTTAGATTTGTGGGGTCTTTTTAGCTTCCCAGCCTAACTTGGGCTTTTGGGTCTGTAGCCCAAGCAGATATTACATACAAATGCTGTGGTTGATGGACTGTGGGCTTTATAATTTCTTTCTGAAATGCTTTCTTCTTGTGTTAGCCCCGCCTGGACTTCCTGCCTGTCTTTTGGAGATCTTGCTTGAGTGGCAGTCACCCCTCTGTTTGTGCCCATCTGCTGCTTCATAAACACCACATTTACATCTCCTGCCTATTTCAGTGCTGTCAAGCTCTGGGGACTCTAAAGATCTCGGGGGACCAATGAGGAAGTCGTAGGGTCTGTGCAGTCAGTCCTAAGTTTATAGCCAGAAGCTTCATCCCAGCAGAGACTCCTGTCTTCACTCTGCGGTGACCAGGCGTGGCTTTTCCAGGAAGCCAGATAATGGAACTGTCTGGCTAAGGGGCACAGAGAGCCACTACTTAGAGCCTTTTCCTTTTCTCTTTCAATTTGCAGCACTTTTTATGAAGACTGGTCTTTTGTGATGGACGAAGAAAGGTCTAGCATGCTTCCTACCATGGCAGCTGGTAAGCCCGGGCAAGGCCGGGGTGATGGGTCCTGGAAGAAGAAGAGGGGTTTTCCTTATTCCTCAGCAACTTGAGGTGCTTGCCACCGTCCTTCCTCTAATGGCATTGAATTTGATACCCTGGCAGGGAGAGCACGGGGTTGAGGGTTTTTGGCTGTGGCTTTGCAAGTGTAATAGAAAGACCTGCAGGTTGGAGACAGGAGACCTGCCTTTGAAGCTGGGGACCTGGGGCAGATGCTGTTACTATTACTTTCCTCCTCTGCAAGGTGGGGTTCCGGATGTCACGGCCGTTGTCATATAGGACTGTGAGAGAATCAAATGTGATAGTCATGTACACCATTTGTCAACATGCAAACCTGGAAAGATTTTTTTTTGTGTGTGTTTTATTAAATTGTTTATCATTTGACTCACTCAAAAGGTGAAACGATTCAACAGAAGTGGGCAACTTTTGCTACTTTCTTCTAAATCCTCTGTTGCCTCCTTTTTCTTTTTCTTTCCTCAAAGTTTGCACCAAGTCCCAAATATTGAGTTACGTTAGCTTAGGCCATTGAGGAAGAGTCAGGGTTTGGCCATGATTTCCTGTGGGTCATAGGATACCAGTGCAAATTTTTCATACGTAATTCTACTAATGATATTGGTGTACCTATTGTAATTGCTTACTGAGCTGAGTGTTTTTGGTGGGCGATGGTCTTTATAGTTAACCTGTGAAAGAGATATTGTGTCTCTATTTTACAGATAAGGAAACTAAAGCTCAGAGAGTTATAAATGGCTTGACCAAGGTCTCGTAGCTCGTACGTGGCAGTGCTGGGATTCAATCCAGGCAGTCTGACCTCAAAACCTATGACTTACCTTCCCTCTTGACAGAGAGGAAAAGAATTTGGAGTGACTCAGCTTCTGTGGTAGCTGCTGTTCACTGACCCCAGTTGGGGGAGGTTTCAATCAGCATTTAAGATCAGTGTGCACCCTCCTGTGCACTGTACTGTCTGCAGCTGTTTGTCGTGTTGGAGGCGTTACTGTCCAACAGCACACACTCCATGCTCTTCCTTTTGTGTGGAAGGTCTGAACTCCATACTCTTCGCGATCAACATTGACAACAAGGATTTAAATGGGCAGAGCAAGTTTGCTCCTACTGTCTCGGACCTCTTAAAGGAGTCAACGCAGAACGTGACTTCCTTGCTGAAAGAGTCCACGCAAGGAGTGAGCAGCCTTTTCCGGGAGATCACGGCGTCCTCTGCTGTCTCCATCCTCATCAAGCCTGAGCAGGAGACCGACCCCCTGCCCGTCATGTCCAAGCATGTCAGTGCAGGTGAGGCAAAGCGTTTGAGGTAGAGCAGAGGGGCCAGGTAACAGGTGTCAGGCCATGGCCAAGGTGGACACACCTCATCACCTGAAAGTGCCCAGGGGCCTGAATCTGACGCACTTGCATTCTCCATTCACATTTGTTCTTATTCTTTTATAACCTTTGGATAAAAGTGCTAGAAGAACTGCTTAGAGGAACAATTTTAACATTTTCTTTGTGGCATATTTTTAAAATTATTTTTATTTTTTAAAATTTATTTTTCAATAACCCTTGACATACAATATTATAATTGTTTCATATGTATTGTTAACATGAAAACTATCGAAACCTGTAAAGAGTTTTTGTGAGTTTATTTGAGCCAAACTGTCGACATATGCCAGGAAGCAGAACTTCAAGGAATTGAGATAATGCTTCAGAGAATGGAAGGTTACATCTGTATTTATACATTGCAATCAAAGGAAAGGGATGTAGGTGGGTTAGATGAAATCCATTGGTGATAAATTGAGGAGGTGGCATAAAGCAAAGCAGGGAAACCTCTGGGATAGGATAAAAAGTGAAATGATGGACATATGCTTCTTTTACAGAGATGGATACAGGATAGTTTAACATAATTAACAGTTGATAATAAACTTGATAACAATAACAATGAGGGAATGCCCTGATGCCATTTGTATTGCCCCTGATTGGTTAGGGTGGGGGGAGGAGGGAGGGAGAGGAAAGGAAGTTACAAGTTACCCATACATTTTGCAGATATGTTATCTTAGAGGCAAAAAGATAAATGGGATCAGTAAAGATCTAAGTTGATTGTTGTCAGGAAAAATACTGGCCTAGGACATGACTACCCACTATAACCTGTTTGTAGTTAAATATTTAATTTTCAGACCATCTTTTGTGGTTACTTTAGGTCTCTGAGTTTGCAAGACTGCCATGTAGGCCTCTCCTGAGTTGTCAGGTTAGCATGTGGCTCCTTTCATCCACAGTGTATTATACAAAGTGGTTAGATATTTATATACCATAAAGTGATCCCCCCTCCCCCGTAAGTCTAGTACCTATCTGACACCATACATAGTTACTATAATATTATTGAGTATATTCCCTATGGTGTACTTTATATCCCCATGACTATTTTTATAACTGGCAATTTGTACTTCTTAATCCCTTTTATCATTTTCACACATCTCCTCACCTTTCTCCCATCTGACAACTATCAATTTTTTCTCTGTATCTCTGAGCCTGTTTCTATTTTATTATTCTTATTTTTTAGATTTCACATATGAGTGAAACCATATGGTATTTGTCTTTCTCTATCTGATTTACTTCACTTAGCACCTAATACCCTCTATTAGGGGTGTCGAACTCAATCAGAGAAGGGGCCAAAATCTAAAATCCAGCCTAAATCGCGGGCCAAATGGTTTACTGAACAGTCATAAACTGTCATTGTGATGGAAACGCAGCGGAGTGCAGTGATGACAGCGCAGTGCGGGCCACATTGCAAGGCCTGGCAGGACGGATTTGGCCCGCGGGCCTTGTGTTTGACACATATGCTCTAGATCTATCCATGTTGTTGCAAATGGTCATATTTCATTCATTTTTCATGGCTGAGTAATATTTCAATGTATATATGTACCACTTCATCTTTATCCATTTGTCTGTTGATGGGCACTTAGGTTGATTCCATGTCTTGCCTATTGTGAGTGATGCTGCATTGAACATAGGGATGCATATATCTTTTCAAATTTGTATTTTAATTTCTTCATATGAATACCCAGAAGTGGAATTGCTGGGTGATATGGTAGTTATATTTTTTAAATTTCTGAGGAATTTCCAAACTTTTCCATAATTCCTGCACCTGCTTATAATCCCTCTAACAGTGTAAGAGGATCCCCTTTTCTCCACATCCTTGCCAGCACTTTTTGTTTATGGTTTTATTAATCATAGCCGTTCTGACACATATGAGGTGATATCTCATTGTAGTTTTAATTTGCATTCCCCTGATGGTTAGTGATGTTGAGCATCTTTTCATATGTCTTGGCCATCTGTATGTCCTCTTTGGAGAAATCTCTGTTCAGGTCCTCTGTCCATTTTTAAATTTGATTATTTGGTTTTTGATGTTAAGTTGTATGAATTCCTTATATATTTTGGATATTAGCCCCTTACCAGATATATCATTGGGGAATATCTTACTCCATTCAACAATAGGTTGTCTTTTCATGTTTCTTCTTCTTCTTCTTCTTCTCTTCTGTTCTTCTTCTTCTTCTTCCTTCTTCTTCTTCTTCCTCCTCCTCCTCCTCCTCCTCCTCCTCCTCCTCCTCCTCCTCCTCCCGCCTGCTTCTGCTGTTGCTTCTGCTGCTTCTGCTGCTGCTTCTTCTTCTTCTTCTTTTGTTCTTTTTTTCTCTTTCTTTTCTCTTCTTCTTTTTCTTTTCTTCTTTCTCTTCTTTCTTTCTTTTCTCTTTCTTTCTTCTTCTCTTTCTTTTTCTTCTTTCTTTTTCTTTTCTTTTTCTTTTCTCTGCTGTTCTTCTTGATTCTTTTCGTCTTCTTATTCTTTCTTCGAGTCTTCTTCTCGTCTCTTTTCTTCTTCTTTCTTCTCCCTTCCTTTCTTCTCGTCTTTCTTCTTTCTGTCTTTCTCTTCTTCTTTCTTTTCTGAATCTGCTTTTCTTCTTCTCTTCGTCTTCTTCTTTCTTTCTTTTCTTCGTTTCTCTTTCTTCTTCTTCTGGCCTTTCTATTCTTCTTCTTTCTTCTTCTTCTTCTTCTATAGTCTTTCTTCCTTCTTCCTTGCTCTCTATTCTTCTTTCTCTTCTTCTTCTTCTTCTTCTTTTCTTCCCCTTCTCTGCTGCTGCTCTGCCGGCACTCTTCTTCTCTGCCATCTTGATTCTTCTTCTTCTGATTTCTACATCTCTTCGTTCTTCTTCTTCTTTTTACCTTCTTCCCCCTTTCTTCTTGTTCCTTCTTTCTTTTCTTTCCCTTTGCTTCTTCTTCTTCTTCTCGTTCTTACATTCCTTTCTCTTCTTCTTTCTTCTTTCTTTTTTTCTTCTTTCGTGTTTTCTTTTTTGGTTCTTTTTCTTTTCGTTTTTCCTCTTTCTCCTTTTTTTTTCTTTGTTTTCCTCTTTCCTCTCTGTCGGTTCTTCTTCCTTCTTCTCTTCTGCTTCTTTTTCTTCTCTGTCTTCTTCTTGCTTCTTTGCGTCTTTCTGTTTCTATCTTGCTTCTTGTGCTTCTTCTTTCTTCGTTCTTCTTCTCTGTCGTTTTCTTCCTTCTTCCGTTTCTTTCTTCGTCTTTCTTTTTCTCCTCGCTCTTTTGTCTTGTCTGTCTCTTTCTTCTTCGTCTTCTTTTTCTGTCTTCTTCTTCTTTCTTCTTCTTCTTCTTCTTCCTTCTTTCTCGGTCTTCGGCGTTACTTTCTGTCTTCTTCTTCTGTCGTTTCGTTTTTTTGCCTTTTTGTCTTTCTTCGTTTCTTTCTTCCTTTTTTTCGTCTTTTTTTCTTTCTTTCTTCTTCGTTTGCTTTTTCTTCTTTCTTCTTTTTCTTCTGTCTTCGTTTTCGTCTCTTCTAAAATTTCTTCTTCTTCTCTGTTCTTTCATGCTTCTTCTTTCGTCTCTTTCTTCTTCTTGCTTCTTTTCTTTCTTCTTCTTCTGTCTTCTTGCTTTCTTATCTATTCTTATTCTGCGGCCTTCTACCTTCTCTGGTCTTTCCTTGCTTTCGTTCTTCTGGTTTTCTCTTTCTTGCGTCTTCTCTTCTATCGTGCTCTCGTTGTCGTCTTTCTTCTCTTTTTTCTTTCCGTTTCTGTTTCTTCGATCTTCTTTCTCGTCTTCTTCGTTTTCGTCCTTCTCTTATTTTTCGTCTTTTTCTCTTCCTACCTCTTGTCTTCTCTTCTTTTTTCTTTCCCCGCGTCATGTCTTCGTCTGCTTCTTTCTTCTTCTTCTTTTTCTTCTTGTCGTCGTTCCTTCTTTCTTGCTTTCTCTTTTCTTCTTTTTTCTTGTTTTCTGTTTCTTCCGTCTTTTTTTCCTTCTTCTTCTTCTTTTTTTGTTCCTTTTTTGCTTTTCTTTCTGTTTTTTTCTTTTTTCTTCTTCTTTTTTTTCTTTCTCTTCTTCTTCTTTCTTCGTTCTTTTCGTTTTCTTTCTCTTCTTTTCTTTCTGTCTTCGGCGTCTGTCCTGTCTTTCTTCTCTTTCTTTCTTCTTTCCTTTCCATTCGTCGTTTTGCCTTACTTCTTCTTTCTTCTTCTTCTTTCTTCCTCCTTTCTTTGCTTTTTTTCTTGTCCTTCCTTCTTCTTTCGTTCTTTTTCTTTTCTTCTTCTTTTTCTTCTTCTTTTCTTTTCTTTCTTCTTCTTCGTCTTTCTCTTTCTTTTTGTTTTTCTTCTGCTTTGTCTTCCTCTTCGTTCCGGTCTCTTTCTTCTCTGTTTCCTGTTTCTTCTTCTACTCTGCTCTTCGTCTTCTTCTTTCGTGCTTCTTCTTTCTTCTTTCTTTCCTTCGTTCTTCTTCTTGCTCGTTTCGTCTTCTTTCTCTTCTTCTTCTCTTTCTTCTTTTTCTCCCGTCTTACTTTTCTGCGCTTCTTTCTTTTCTCCATTCTCTATCGGTCTTCGCGTCTGTTTTCTCGTTCTTTGCTTCTCTTACTTTTCGTTTACTCTTTACCTTCCTTGTTGCAGGTTCTCTTCGCTTCCTCTCCACTTCTCTTGGCTTCCTTTGCTTCTTCGTTTTCCTTCTTTCTTTCTTCGTCTTCCGTCTGTGCCTATTCTTCTCTTCTTCTTCTGCTTTTGATTTTACCTGCTGACCTTTCCTCCTTCTTCTTGCTTCTTCTTCTTTTTTCCTTCTTCGGTCTTCTTCCCTAATTCTTCTCTTCTCCTTCTTTTTGCTCTCTTCTTTCTTCCTTTTTTCTTCTTCTTCTTCTTTCTTTTCTTCTTCTCTTCGCTTTTTCATTCTCCTTTCTTTCTTTTCTTTCTTTCTTCTTTTTTCTGCTTGTGCTTTCGGTCTTGTCTTCTTCTTTTTTCTTCTTTGTTCTTCTTCTTGCTTCTTTCTTCTTTTTCTTCATTTCTTCGTTTCTCTGTCTGTCTTTCTTTTCTTTCTTCTTCTTTTTCATTCGTTCTTCTTATTTCTTCGTCTTCGTCTTTTTCGTCTTTCTTCTTCTTCTTCTTCTTTCTTTCTTCTTCTTTCTTTCCTTCTTTCGTCTTCTTCTTTCTCTTTTCTTTCTCCCGTTCTCTTTCGTTTTCACTCTTCTTGCCTTCTTTCTTCTCTTCTTCTGGCTCTTCTTCTTCGCTTTGTCTTCTTCGTGCATTTCTTCCTACTTTTCTTTTTTCTTCTGTCTTCTTTTCTGCTTTACTTTCTTCTGCGTCTTCTTCTTCTTCTTCTGAGGATCGTCAGAGTCTCTTCTTCTTCTTCGGTCAGAGAACGGAAGAATATGGCTGACGGAGGCCTCGTACCTTCACCTACTAAGACTCCGACTCCGAACTATTCCTCTTCTGTTGCTGCTTTTTTCTAGTGCGGCTTTCCTGCTTGCTTCTTTCTTATTCTTTTCTTCTCTTCTTCCTCCTCCTCCTCCCTCCTCCTCCTCCTCCTCCTCCTCCTCCTCCTCCTCCTCCTCCCCCCCCCCTCTTTAATTGTTTGAAGCATTACAAATAGTAGTACATATGTCTCCTCCCCCCCCCCCTTAACCTCCCCACTATCTTTTTGTTTTCATTTTTTTATTGTTTCCTTCACTGTGCAAAAACTTCTTAGTTTTGGCTTAGTCTCATTTGTTTACTTTTTCTTCTGTTTCCCTTGCTTGAGGAGACACATACATTTTTTCAGTCTTCTAACAGATGTTTTTCCAAAGGATTTAAGAAAGTCTGAATAGTAGTAGAGTAGGAGAGGATTTTCCAAGATCTAGAGTCAATATGGCTTGATCACCTCTTTATCTTGCCTATTTTTTCTTATATCATATCTTGTCTTTTTCTAGATGCCAAATGTAAAAAGGAACGGAAGAAGAAAAAGAAGGTGACTAATATTATCTCATTTGATGATGAAGAAGATGAGCAGACCTCTGGTGATGTGTTTAGAAAGATACCTGGGACTGGGGAGAGCTCAGAGGAGAACTCCGATCGCTCCTCCGTCAATATCATGGCCTTTGAAAGCCCCTTTGGACCTAATTCCAATGGAAGCCAGAGCAGCAACTCATGGAAAATTGATTCTTTGTCTTTGAATGGAGAGTTTGGGTACCAGAAGCTTGATGTGAAAAGCATTGACGATGAAGTGGATGAAAATGAGGATGACATGTACACGTCGGGAAGGAAGCATACGGGCCACTCAGAGTCGCCTGAGAAGTAAGTTCCACTCTAGGTTTTAACGAAGGTAGCATATTAACTGTTTTCTCTTCCTGCAGAATTGGGTGAAAGAAGGGTGCAAGGTTTATATTTGTTTAGGGCATCTTTCGTTTTTCAGATCTTGATTTAGGAGGAAGGCGCATTATTAGCTTGTAGAGAACTAAGAGAGGGGAAGGGAGTATATTTAAAGGTATGTATTCCAAAATTAGTGTCAAGATGCGTGCCTTGAAACTTTTGCTTTACATATCCAGCTTTCATTTTGTTTTCTAGCTTCTCCTCCCATCTTTAACTTGCCTCTAGCATAGGGAGCTCAGTAGAAAGGTAGGGTTATTCTAGAAAATAGCCATGGGCTGGTGATGTTTGTGTTTATCAGCAGGATTGTGAACAGCAGTGATTTGCCTGCACCTGCTGCTTTACCACTGGAGTTGCTGTAGACTTATGCCTGTGGAAGGGGCTTGACACATGAAGGCATAAAGCAAACAAGTATAGTAAAGAGCTTGGATTTTGGAATCGAGACAACCTGGGTCCTCGTGTACTAGCTCCCTGGCTTAGATTGGAGGAGGTTAGACAAGTTACTTCACTTCCCAGAGTCTCAGGGCTCATGAGAGACCCGGGAGAAAAACAGTACCTTCTTAGTAGGGTTGTTGTCAAAGCAGTGAGCTGCTCCATGTGGGCTGGCTGCACACTACTATTGTAATAATATTCCCACACTTGGTTTTACTCTTCATGCCAAATAAATTAGTTTTCATGTAGGCGTTACGGTGGTTAATGCTATCCTGATCACTCTGACTTCAAAACCAGCCCATAAGAGTGAGAGAGATTTTGAGATCCCATGGTATGACTGAACAGTATGTCTTGCTTTCCACTTTCATGCTTTAATAGGAGGTGTTTTTTTTTTTTTTTTTTTTTTTTTTCCCTTTCTCACGACATTGTGCCTGCTTTTTGTCTTTGATTGTTATCCTGGTCCTCATTCACATGAATACCTGTGTATTAGAAGTATCATCTGATTGACCATCTGTGTGACATGCCAGATGCTACAAGCTATGTATATATTATCCTAATCCGTAGTGGATACCATCCCCACGGGACGGATGAAAGAATGGGATTTGTAGAGAGTTGAGATTTGTCAGAGCAATGGGCAAAGCTGGGTTAAGTTTAGATTAAGCTGATTGTACTGTTGAATACTTTACATATCATTCTGAATATCAATTGGTTGATGTTCAATTAGATCAATATGTCATGTTTGTTAAAGGTTCCTCCATTGTTGAGTATTGGCATCTTCCTAATGGCAGCTTTGTCTGTTGTTGCTTTTGGTTATCAGCCATTGTGAGAGCAACATTTTCACGAGGAGGTTTTGTTCTCCTCCTGGAGGATTTGTTGGAGTAGCGTCCCTGTGGCTTGTTTTGCTGACAGGCCGTGAATGTTTTGGTTCCTGGAATCCAGGTCTTGTGACGGGCTGTGTTAGTCAGGGTTTTCCAGAGAAACAGGATCAAGAGGGTGTGTGTGTGTGTGTCTCTTCTGTGTGCATCTATCTGTCCTGAGAGACTTATTTTAAGGGATTGGCTTATGTGATGGTGGAACTCTGACAAGTTCAGAAACTGGAGGGTGGGCTGGCAGGCTAGAGATTCAAGGGAGAGTTGCTGTTCGAGTCTTAAGGCAGCCTGCTGGCAGAACTTCTTCTCAATCTTTTTCTGTGAAGGCCGTTAACTGATTCGATGAGGCCCACCCAAATTATGGAGGGTAGTCTGCTTACTAGTACTCAGTGTCTGCTGATTTCAATGTTCATTTCATCTGAAAAATACCTTCCCAGGAGCATAGAATAACATTTGATCATATCTGGCTACTGTGGCATAGCCAAATTGACACTTAAAATTCACCCTCACACTTGCCTTTAGTCTTAATCTAGGCCTTTCAGGAAACGCCACTTGTGTTCTGTGTCTCTGCAGGTGAGAGCAACTGAGTTTATTCGCTTCATGGGTTCTCACTGGCCTCAAACACAGTCATTTCTCTCCCTAATGACCAGTGCCATTGAGGGAGTCTGGAGAAGAGGCCACTTTGCAAGCCAAGGCGGCTGCCAGCATTGTGATGTGTGAGGCACAGGACAGTGCAGGTGACCTTCACAGAGCTGGCCCTGCGGGGCCATGGAGCCTCCTGCAGATTCTGGACAGCCTCTCCTGTGTAAAGGGGGTCTTGAGTGAGCATTCACAGAGCATCTTGGGAAAGAGCAGAGGAATGATGAGGTGGCTTATGAATAATGCTTTTCCTTTAAAATTTTTTTTTTTAAATTGATTTCAGAGAGGAAGGGAGAGAGAGAGAGAAAGAAACATAAATGTGAAAATCATTGATTGGCTGCCTCCTGCACGCCCCCCTTCTGGGGGTTGGGAGTCTGAGCCCGCAACCCGGGCATGTGCCCTTGGCTGGAATCTAACCTGGGAGCCTTTAATCCGCAGGCCTTGGCTAGGGCTGATGCTTTCCTTTTGATTGCAAGAAAATGTTCATATGTACGGTCTCGGAACCTGAGGGACAGAACTTGAGCAGTGTCACAGCACAGCTGGGTTTGTGAGGGGAGTGGCGGGGCCAGGTCAGGGGGGAAGCACACTGCGGTCTGTCACAGCCTCTGGCAAGGTTGGTGCTCTGAGGGCGTCGAGATGCTCCGTTGGCCAAAGGTTGAGTTTTATGTCTCTGTTTGCTAGCAATTAAACCACTTATTTGATGACTAAGGAAAACCTTGCCCCTCAAGATTTTGGCTTTGCTTTAAAAAATTTTTATTTTTTATTTTTAAGAGGATAATACCTTTATTATATTATAGAAAGTAGTTTTCTGTCACTTAATATGTTTTCTGTGATGCCAGTAGGAAAGTAGAGTGAAACAATTTCAAACGTGTGGGAAAATGTTGCACCTCCCTAGCAATTAAGCAAATGCAAAGTGAAAGCAGTTAGTACCATGCTTGCCTGTTCTATTTGCCTAGAGCAGTGGTCAGCAAACTCATTAGTCAGCAGAGCTAAATATCAACAATACAGCGATGGACATTTCTTTTGAGAGCCAAATTTTTTAAACTTAAACTTCTTCTAACACCACTTCTTCAAAATAGACTCGGCCAGGTGGTCTATTTTGTGAAAGAGCCACACTCAAGGGGCCAAAGAACCGCATGTGGCTCGAGAGCCACATTTTGCCAACCCGGGGCCTACTAGCGTTAAAGTGAGAACTGGGAAAAGGCAGGCCCTGCTTAGTACCCCGGGCCTGGCCTGCACTTGGTGTGTCCTCAGGCTTGGTTTGCTCCAGGCACACAGTAGGTGCTAACTGTGAATGAGTGATGTAAGGCGTCCTCCATTGCTGGTAGTGTTGGCAGCCATCTAGAAAACACAGTGTCAGCAGCCTTAACATTGTCGACCTCACTTGATTTAGCAACCCCACTGCCAGGGATCTTCTCAAGGGCAGGCTCAGGGAGCAGGCTGCTGCGTCAGATAGCAAAGTCCTTACTTAGAGAAGCAGAACTTCAGAGCCAACCAACAGGTGCTACCACAGAGGAGCGGTTAACAGAGGATCGCATTGCGTGAACCTCAGAGTCTTAATGTTTAGGACCTTAAACCTCTCACATGAGAAGTGTAAGAAAGAGCATCCAAGTAGTTTGAAGATTAACTTTGTGAGCTTATGCTGAATGAAAAAAGGCAAATATAAAATCATATTTAGTTTCATTATGGCCTTGTAGAGAAAACTGCAAGAAAGAAAAGACATACTAAGAGGAGATAGTGTCTAAGTCAGTTGTGCTTTGGGTAATGTGGTGTTGGGTGTAATTTTCCCCCATTCTTTTAAAAAAATTTTTTTCTTGGTTTTACAACATGTTTTACTTTTCTAACAAAAAGCAACACCTGTTCTTACGTTGCTAAGCCAGCGGTGGCACCATATCCTGAATTGGTCTCTGCCTCAGGAACCACTTTGGTGTAACTCAGCTTTGAGGTGTAACTCAGCTTTGAGGTGTGACCCGTGGCCCCGTTAACGTAAAAACATTGAAACCTGTAAAGAACTTTTGTGACTTTATTTGAGCCAAACTGTCGTATGCCAGGTAGTAGAACCTCAACGAATTAAGATAATGCTCCAGAGAATGGCGATTTTTCATCTGTTTTTATACATTGTAATCAAAGGAGGAGACATAGGTGGATTACATGAAATCCATTGGTGATAGATTAGGGAGGCAGGAGAAAGCAAAGTGGGGGTGGGTTGGGAGTGGGAAACCCCTGGGATTGATAAAAAGTAAAATGATGGACACATACTTAGGTGGGTACAGAAACAATTAACATGATAATGAAGGAATTTGTGGTATCTGTTCTGGAACCCAGCACAGTAGGTTATACCAAGGGATCTGGAAAAAGGGAAGCTACAAGTTATCCAGACATTATTAAGAGTACATTATTATACATGCAATGAGACAGATAGGCTCAGTTAAGGTAAAGGTTGACCTTGTCAGGGAAGATACCGGACTAGGACATAACTGCCCACCATAACTACTTTTAGTTAAAGTTTAATTTCAGACCATCCTTTGTGGTTAGTTTACGTCTCTGAGTCGGCAAGACCACCATGCAGGCCTCCCCTGAGCTTGTCAGGTCAGTATGTGGCCCCTTTCGTCCACAGCCCCTTTTGCTTGGGTCCCAAACCTCAGCTGCTAGAGCCTGGCTTCCCATGTGTTGCCGTGAAGTGGCAGGATTTCCCCTCAGGAACAGCAGCAAGAGAAATGGTGGCTTTGCTTCCTTCTGAGAGGTGCCCTGACTGACTCTAGGTGTCTGGGAGTCCCTCAGTCGCAGCTGCTGGCCTGGAGCCCCAGGAGGGCAGCTCTCTACAGGTTCTAGGGCCACAGCCCCGTTCATCGAAGCATCAGCCTTCCTCTCTTGTGCCCTAGAGTGCCATCTGAGAGTCTCATTGTGTGTGTACCTGCAGGATTAAATGAGACATTTTGCAAATTCTGTAGACTTCTGTTTGGTGCCAAATGCATGAGGACTGAAAGCAGAATTTCTACGTGATGATCTCTAAAAGAAGGGGTGGCCAACTACACCTGCTGGCCAGATCCTCTACACAGCTGAGAAGGGTTGTTAAACAAACAAACAAACAAGGCAAAGCAAACAAACAAAAACCAAAAGAAGAAGAAGGATGGCCACAAGGCTTAAACATTCTGCTATCTGGTCCTTTATAGAAAAAGCGTTCGGTTTGGCTCGGTTGATAGATCGTCAGCCTGCGAACTGAAAGGTCCGGGTTCGATTCCTGTCAAGGGCATGTACCTTGGTTGTGGGCACATCTCCAGTAGTGGGTGTGCAAGAGGCAGCTGATTGATGATTCTCTCTCATCGATGTTTCTAACTTTCTATCCCTCTCTCTTCCTCTCTGTAAATCAATAAAAAACATTAAAAAAAAAAAAAAGTGTTGATCCCTGCTCTAAGGAATGAAAGAAAACCTCTCTGCATCATGCCATGGTAGGCAGGAGCCAGGAGAACCATTGCATCTGGGTTTGGAAGACCTGTGCTTGAGCCCCCAGAAGCCTTGGTTCTGTCCTTAAGGCTCATGACCTTGTACAAGTCAGAATCTCTTGAGTTTTTCTCCCTCTCTCCCTTCTTCCGTCCTCTCCTCCCCTTTCTTTGTTCTTTCCTCTCCCTCTCCACCCATCCCTCCCTTCCTCTGTTAAGTAGGTGTGATTATGATCTGCTCTGGTCCTCACAGCTGAGTTACAGAGTGAGTTTATAATCTTTGAAATGTGCTGTGGGCAGTACTTTCTCAAATCAGTTGAATTGAGCCAGCCTGGTACTACAAAGATCGTGCAGCTTAGTTTTGTACTTAGTGGATGCGGTGACTATATAACAGATCATATGAGCTGGTTAATATTTGAGCTGATCCCCTTTCTTGGAAGGGACCCAGACATGGTCTGGTCTGATTCTGCTCTTTACTTGAGAGGGTTTGAGAACCAACAAGGCAAAGGGCCAGCCCAGGTCACATGGCTGCCATCATTTCAGAGCTTGAAACACACCGTGCTTCCTCCTTCAGCACTTTGCACATGCTGTTTCCTCCCCTTCTGTTCCTCTTGTCCCTTCTCTTCACTCAGGTAACTCTTGTGCTTCCTTCAGCTCTCACCTCAAGCCTCCCTTCTTTCAGGAAGCCTTCCATGACCTTCTGACCAGCTCTATGAGGATGAGCTACTGTTCTATACCATCTAGGGGGAATATTTGATTCATGTCTGTGCCCCTGAACAGGTGGTAAGCTCCACGAGGCTGGATAAACACTGTATCCTGGGTCTTTTGCCAGCACAAAATATAATATATGTGCTGCACGCTGCTTGGCATATATCAATAGTAGGTGCTCAGTAAACAGTGGCAGAAAGAACAAATGCAAGGGGTCTGGCTCCAGTCTCTGTGCTCCCGACTCCCAGTCTGAATCTCCCACTGTGCCCAGCCCTGTCATGGTTAGTTGCCAAGAAGGAGCTTGTGGGAGGCCCAGCCGATGCGTGTGGTGACCTGAGTCCTCAGGGGCCCTTTGCCCTTTCACACAGCTTTATTCTTTCCTCACAGGCCACTGGATGGGAACACCTGCCTCTCCCAGATGCACAGCTGGGCTCCGCTGCAGGTGCTGCACGGCGACACCGATGTCCTCTTTCCGGTCAGCAGCGTGGGCTCCTTCAGCCCTGCAGGTGGGTGCTTTCTGACTGCTCTTTTCCCTCCATTATGGCTCCGAGCACTGCAGGGGTGTCTGGGCCACTTCTGCCGGTGGGAGCGGGGGGCAAGGAGGCCGGACTCAGAGCAGAAGTGCTGCTGAGATTCGGAGGGACAGAGACTTTAGCTTCACTTCCTGCTGAACCTGGGTATTTTGAGATGCCCTCATCTGAATGAGTGTTGGGCAGAATTGCCTTGCAGGTCACCAGGGAGCCCCCAGTCTGCTTTTCTTCTTGCCAGTGATTTGTTGAACATGTACAAGCTGACTACAAAGAATGACCATTAATTTTGCCTCCTAGGAGGTCACAGAACCCATAGCTGTGGAGGCCCTGGCACCCTTGGCAGCAGAGTGCTTGGGGTCAGGGAGCAGCTTGCTCAGTGGGTAGCAGTTCTGGCCCAGTCCCTGCTGCTGAGCACACTTATGTGTGGTTTGTTATTGTTTTCTGTAGTGAGGGCAGGTCACGGGGAGAGCTGGGACGGATGTGCAGGAGCCCAGCTGGCCCAGAGGAGTGGGAGTGCATGCAGCTGACTCAGTGCCTGGCACTTCCCTACAGCACCACAGGTCCCCGAGGACTCAGTGCCTGGCACTTCCCCACAGCACCACCAGGTCCCCGAGGCCATGGTCCCCCAAACCCACCCCTGACGTCTTCCCAGGTTTAAGAAACGGACGGGGCTGCCAGCTGCTCAGGAAGCTGCTGGCTTTCTGAGCTGGATGACACTGTTGTACTTGCCACTGTGCAGGGAGTACTGGAGTTTCTAGGGTTTGCTCGTGGCTTCCAGGTCACCACCCAGGTCCCCATTCACCTTGCCCTACTCCGCCTGGGGGTGCCTTTCGGTTGGGCTGTGAAGTATTGCTGGGCTGAGAGGTGCATGCACTATGCAGTCTGTTTTGTTTACAGTGGCTGTTTCATTTCCTAACTGGGCTCCTCTAACTGTCAGATGCTGGGCATTCTCCCTTCCTCTGGGCTTTCTGTAGACGGTGTCTCTAGGAGAAGTAGCCCCTGGCCAGTTCCAGCCTGGCGGATCCTCAGGGGAAGACATCCCCTGGCAGGTTGCCCACAGTCCCACCTCCGGCCTTTGTCCTCGCAGACCTGAGGCTGTCTTGTCACTGTTGACGGGACCCGAGCTCCAGCGCATCTGATTGCCCTCACCAGAGAGGCTGCCCAGGAGCCAGTGTGCCAGCTGTTTCCCCGAGAACAGTAACAGAGCTCTCAGCAGCCTTGGACGATGTGACAGCCGAGGGACAAGTGCCACGGGAGCATGCATGGGAGGCAGATTCATCCAGGGCCACGTGGAGACACTGGGGAACCCATCACCCGAGTGTATGCCAGATTGCATCAAGTCTCTCCTGCATGATGCTCCGTTTCCATGGCAGGCATGTGGTCCAGGTAGCGCTGAGACCGGCCTGCCTGCAGGGGGACCCTCCCCTAGGCAACACCCAGCATGGCCGCAATTCCTTTCCCAGGCTCCTTTTCTTTTCCTCCTTTTCTGACTAGTGCCCCTCCTGGTCGACACCCCCTAATTGAGTGATGCTAATATATTCCCTCAGTCAGGCCTGGAGCCATTTCATGTCGTTGGTGGTGAGTTTGCACACAGGAGCTCCTCCCTTAGACCTTCCCATCATCTTTGAAAATGTTAGTGCCTCTGCTGTCATCGCCTTTGGGGTATTAGAGAAAGGGAGGGAGAGCAGAGGATAAACGGAGAGAGGGACATGGTGAGAAAGGTGGATGTGTTGGTAGCTAAGTCGTGGGAGGGAGAAAGCGGTGGAGAAGGGGACCCTGAACACAGAGTCATTATCCTTCTGGATCTTGGAAGGGGCGGTTCTATGGATCAGGGGCCGTGCTTTGGGCTGCATTTCTGGGGTGAGGGAGGGGCTCAGCTCAGGGAGATGCCAGGCCAGGGCTTGGTCCCTAGTAGAGGGTGTGCAGGAGGCATGCTTCTCTATCCCTCTCTCTAAAATGAATAAAAAAATCATTAAAAAATAAAATAAAGTAGTGGCAGTACCTTCCTCAGAAGGGGTGTGGCAGTTGAGTGCTCTGACTCTGCTCTGTGGCTCCAGGGCCTCAGCTTACTACAACTGTCAGCCCATCACATTTTGTGATATGAACATCACAAAATGTGGGGTTGTCATGGTCATGTATCATTAAGGGAAATCGGCTGGGGCCGTCGGTGTTGTATCCGGAATGCTGGTGGGCGATGGTGGCCTTCACTCCAACTACAGGTTTCTGTATGTTGGAGCCCCTGTCCTTGCTTCAGGGAGCAGAATCTGACGGCTGTGTGAGTCAGGTTAGAGAGGGTGAGGTGACCTGAGGTGACCTGCTGCAGGACACCCCTAGAAGGTCTGGAGCCTTTGGATGAGGGTGAAAACGGTTGGAAAACAAGGAGTGGAAGGTAGCTAGTGGGGGCTGACAGGTGTGGGCACTCCTAGCTCTGTGATGGGAGGGAGGGTGAATGCCAAGCTCTGAGGGTACTGCCAGTGGGAAGTGGTGACAGAAGAGGAAGAGTGGCTTTGAAGGTTATGATCAGTTGGTGGCCCAGTAGGACATCCCAGTGGAGATTTCTGGTAGGCAGTGAGAAATGTGGGGCTGGGATTCAAGATTCACGTCCTAGCCAGAGGCAAGGGCTGAGCATGGTCACCTTCCCAGAATGGAGTCTGCAGCTAAGACCTGCTGGATTTATTGGGGACAGAAGCCACAGAGCTGAGATTCAGGGACACCTTTGCTCAGGAATCAGAGAAAAAGACGGTGGGGGAGGGGGACCACAGATAATTGCTATGAAGCCTGAGAAAGGAGTGCTTCAAGGAGGAATGTAGGAGGGGGCCGAGGGAAGTGCTCTTTGGGTCCTTTGAGGGCAAATCCAGTTTCCTGGGAAGATGAGAGTCCCAGGCTCACTGAGTATTCTCACTGAGTTTTACACATGTTACAGTTTAGTATGTGGTAGGCGTTAAGTGTTGTATGGTAGGCAGTAGAGTCATCCCATTTCATAGATAAGGAAACTGAGGCACAAAGAGCATAGGTCACTTGCTGAGTTAAAGCTGGGATCAGGGCTTGAGCTCAGGCAGAGCCCTCAATCTTAAACTAACCACAATACCCTGGTATGAGAAAGGGGAGGCGGTGAAGTAGACACTCTCTTTCCCCTTTGAACTTCTTGAAGGAAGTAGGAGTATGTGGAGTAGCTTGATGGTGTCAGCAGGGTGAAAAAACATTTTTTTTCCTTTTATCGATAGAAGTCCCTTAGTTGAACCCCCTTAAGAGCTGGAGGGTCTTGAGCAGGACGACACTGGCAGAAACGGAAGGAATGAGATGTAGGAGGCTGTCGTGGATGGCTTAGGGAACCAGAGATGTTCCCCTTACCTCTTCCAAATGCCTTTTCCACATGCCGCTGAATGCAGCAAGTGGCTTTTTAGAAATTGGCGGTCACTTCCTTTTGACCCGAGTAGACTCTGTCAGTAATTAGACTGTGCTGCCCTCTCGTGTCCATCTTGAGCCACTACAGGCAGGAGCAGTTTTGTGTAACAGAAAGCTTTGTTCCCTGATTCTGAGGTTGGCCCTGATATGGAGTTGATGGGGAATTCCAGCTGGCTAAGGTAATAAAGGTTGGGGCCTTGTATCAGTGACTGATGCAAAATCTGAGATGGACAAAAAAAAAAAAAAAAAAAAAAAAAAGGTAGCAGACAAAAACCCAGTGTAGCGATGAGGAAAAAATTTTCAAGTCAACTTGTCTAGCAGATAAGCCATTGTGCTGTCTGCCTGTGTCCTTGCCTCATGGAGAAAGTGAGATGACAACAGAAACCTGACCTTCTCTCTGTGTTTGCTCTCTGTTCCCAGATGCCCCCCTCGGAAGCCTGGAGAACGGGACAGGACCCAAGGACCATGCTCTCCCAGAGCCTGGACCTCGGTACAGGTGGGTGGTCAGAAACCAGGTTGCCTTTGGGGTTGGATTTTATTCAGCATTTTATTATTTTTTAAAGCTAGGAGAGCACCTGCGAGGATTGAAGAGCGAGGCCATATTGTGTTCAATTTTAACTTAACATCACAAAATATGGGGTTGTCAGGTGTGGAAGGGCATGAGCGACTCTGTAAGAAATAGGATTTGCATATCATCTTTTCTTGTGCACTTTTGGGGCCAAATCTGGGTACCCGCTCTGTCATTATTTGCTAATTTTAATATTTGATCATGTTGAATAATTAATATTATATAATATTTAAGCCACTTACATATCATATGTTTGTGAAGTGCTTACTTTGGCTATAGTAGTAAGTGCTGTATCAGTTTTCTTTTTTCAAATTGAATTATCTCAATACATTGAATTGCCCAAAGTCCTTGGCTGTGTGGTGGCACAGTGAAGTCTCTCTTATGTCTGGTCCTTGTTGCTGTTACCGTGTTTCCTTCTTTCTCGTCATGGTTTTAATTTGGTGTTTCATTTGCAAGCTCAGCTCCAAGCTGGGAGCCACGATGGCCCCACACCTTGCTTGGGGCTGTGGCCTCTCCCTGGGGGGCGGGGCTGTGCTCCCTGAGACCACACTGTCTGTAGGAGGTCGTACCCATCAGGACAGTGTCAGGAAGGGTTTGCCTGACACATCCAGGACTTGCGTCATTTTTTGCTGTTTGTCTTAGTAAAATTGGAAAATGCAGCATGAAATGAAAAAACCACTTTTAACTCCCAACTCTTGTCTCATTGTTGATATTTTGGTTCTTTTTTTCCTAGTGGTGTGTGTGTGTGTGTGTGTGGACGCGAGCATGTGTGTACATGTGTATATATATGTGTGTGTACACGTATGTACATGCATGTGTGCTTTAACCACACTGTAGCCCTGCTGTTTTCATAAAAGATGTGCTGTTTTTCCACGTTGAAAATTCTTTGTAACTATACAGCCGGTCCTCATTATCTGTGGTGACTGTGTTCTGTGCAGTCGCTGTGAAGGTGGAACCACTGCTCGGGAATTAGAAGACTGGGCTCCTGTGAGCCTCTAGGCCTTTTGTCAGCCTGCCAGTACATACCTTTGTTTTCTGTCTGTTCCTGTTCTAAGACACCTCATTTAACATATATTGTTGACTTTTTGACATTGAACTCATGGCCAATAGCACTGTAACTCCTGCTTGAACAAAAGGTTACCTGACATGTACTTTCTCCACAGTGGCTATCCCAGCCTTCTGGTGGTTGGGAACACCAGACAGCCCTTTAACACCTCCCTTAGGGGGCGTTTTAAATAGCACAATCACCAAGAAGTGTGAAAATGTGGCGATAGTCACCCGCCAAAGGGCACATTGGCAGTATGAGAGTTAAAGATGGAGGCAGAGCTCACCTTGTTGGTGCCAGCTGGGAGCACACACATCTGGAAACCCTGCCGCATGCAGCAGAGAACACGAAAGCACCATGGTGTGGATTTTGGGGTTACAGATACATTTAGTGGGCGGGTACATTTGTGGTCAGGAATTGCAAATAATGAGGACTGACTGTAAGCCCAAGGGCTGCCTTCTGTTCCTTGTAGTAGGCATAGCTGAATAAACTTAACACCAGTTAGTGTTTGAATGGTGAGGTTGTGCATTTGAAGTCACTGAGTGTAACCTCTTTCTGCCTGCCTTTTCCCAGCGTGGAAGCCAGTCCTCCAGGCCAAGGAAGTCCTCTGAGCAGCCTGTTACCTTCCGCCTCAGTGCCCGAGTCGATGACAATTAGTAAGTACTTTCTGAGTCGCCTCCGGCAGTGCTGGGATGACTCCTGGGCCTGTGCGTCCCCGCGGTGCCTCTGTGCCTGCTCCTACACGACTGTGCTGTGAAGTGTGGGGTCAGGTTAGGAGTGTGCATCCCTGGGGTGGATGTTGACTGTGGTGCATGGTTGCATGCTCACTGAGCCGTGCTTGCATGTGATGTGTGGACTTGTGCACACTTCCCAGGACACGCTCCAGGAGTGGGGCAGCGCTGGATTAGAGGGGCAGTCTTCTCTCATTCAGGGTTTTGGGGTTTGCTTCCTGGAAGGCTGTCAGCTAGAACAGGGTTGATTGGTTGCATTTCCTTTGTCGCTCTGGAGGAGTAATTTTTCTAAGTGAGGAAGCCTGTCTCTCTCAAAGATTAATGAAGGTTGCTGGGATCAAGTTCAAACTTTCCAACCTCACCACCTAGAAAAAAGTGTCAGAGAAGTAGTAATTAGGAGGAGGTCTGAGTGGCTTTACGTAATCAAGACGAGCCTGCTTTGTCTTCATGTGCCAGGCAGGTCTGCCCAGAGGCAGGTGGGGCTGGCGTGGGCTCCGGGTGGGCAGAGGCCAGGACTCCTGCCCCCCTTTCTTGTCCCAGGGGCAGGAAGGAAGCGGGGGCAGAGGAGAAACCGCCTCCATTCCCACAGGTAGGATGCAACCGTATGAACTTACATGGGAAAAAATTTACAGCTTTTCCTCCTAGCCTATAGGAAACCTAGCATTTTCTTAATTGTGAAACAGCAGCAAATCATAGGAAGTGGTTAGATGCAAAATGTCACAGGCACCTGCAACAACTGTGGCATGAAAGAGTCTGAGTGTCATTTCTGCTTGAAAACATGGTAATTTTTGAATGTGATAGATAATAAAGAATCCTATATATTATTATGCCAGGTTTTTTTCTTTTTCTTTTTTTGCATTTTCATAATTCTATTTCAATATAGTCTGTTTGCTTTGTAATCATGCGTCTTATTTTATGTAATTTAAAACATTTTTCCTGAGAAGAGGCCCATGAGCATCACCAGACTGTAGAGTGGGCCCATGGTACACAAAGGCTGCTGCCAGGACCTTTCCTAGAAGGTACGCCGTATCCCACTCGGATGGCCACGTACCCCAGTGGCGTGGCCTGGGAGGCAGCGTGCCCCACCCCCTCAGGGCTGTCATTGCTAAGGAAGGAAGAGTGGCGTTTGGGGGCAGCCAGTGTCCTCTGACCTGGGGGTGAAGAAGGCCATGAGCAGATGCTGTGAGGTTGGTGTGGTGGGAATGACCTGCCTCCCTTTGTACAGAGAAAGCATGTAGTTTTTTAGGACGCTCCGCTGCCTTAGATTCAGCCGAGCAGGTATTTATAGATCGCCCAGGATGTGGGACATGGGCTAGGACTGTGGTTGGCAAACGCATTAGTCAACAGAGCCACAGTTTGCCGACCACTGGGCTAGGAGAACACGAAGGTTGCTGGTTTTTAAATTTAAGTTTTGTTTTTTTTTTAACCATGGTACTATTACTTACCCTGTAATTCCTTTCTTTTTTTGAATGCACACTTGAAAAATGTACAAGTCTTTATTTAAAGAGGTAAGTTTATATGATTACAGTGACTGGAGAGCCACAATGGGCTGACTTAAATAGCAGGTGGCTGTAAAGATGAAGACAGTGAGAAGGCAACCGTGTTATGAAGCTGACCTCGATGCTGCCTGTGCGGCTGGGACTGAGACCATTGTGGGAAAGACAGGCCAGTGGGTGAGAGCATTGGGAGGGTGTAGGCTGTCCTCTGCTGACCTCAGACACTTCCCGGGAAGCAGTCGAAAGGCTTGGAGAAGTGAGGGGCTGGCATCTCTGATCACTGTTATGGGGCACCTTGTCCTTGCAGCACAGGATGCTCTCTGTTTCTGTGGGGACACCTCCATGTAGGGGTGAGGCATGACTCTGCATCTAGAGAACACGGGTTTTGCCTTATTTGCATTTGTTTTGAAGAGGACAGGGACCCTGAGATTGGGGACATGAATAGCAGGCTTCATGGCTCCTCATTCTAGGAGCCCAGTTGTCCCAGCTTTGGCTGCCAAGTAGGTTCCTGCTCCGCAGACTGAAGCCCCGCCTCTCAGGTACAGGGTTCGCTTTGTCACTGCTCTTTGGGATGTACAGAGACCGCGGACCGTGGGTCTTCCTTCTGTCCCCGAAGGACTTGCTGGCCCTGCTCGTGTGTGTTCACTGAGGAGTCTGCTCTGAATGGTTCTGCTGATGGCAGGGCTGTAAGCCATTTTTCTTATTGTTACTCATGCAGTTTTCTAAAAACATAAGCCCCGTTTTATTATTTCTTGCCATGTCCAGAGTGTTCAGTTGAATCTCTGAGGAATAGGTCACTGCGTCTACATGTTGACACTCCATATCTGTCAGTGTGGTGTGTGGGGATTGCTGTGTGGATATGGGAGGCTGTGAATTTCAGGGAGCCTAATGGGGCAGCACTGTCATCCATCCTGTGTGTGTTCTGGCTGAGAAATCAGGGTGCTTAGAAACTGTGAGTGGAGGGGCTTTTGGCTTGTGTACCCCTTTCCTGCCCCACCTCCTGTGTCATCACAGGAAAAGAAGAGCCGTCTGTCTGGGTAAGCAGGGGGCATTAGTTTGCTCGGGCTGTCATAATAATAAACCACAGATCGGCGGCTCAACCAACAGACATCTGTTTCTCTCGGTTCTGGGGGCTGACAGTCCAAGATTGAGGTGTCAGTAAGGCAGGTTTCTGGGAAGAGCTATCTCCTTGGCCTTTTCTCTGTGCACCTGCACCCCTGCTGTCTCTGCCTCTTCTTGTAAGTCCTGTGGATGAGTGCCCTGCCCTACGACCACGTTTAACCTTAAAGACCTCTGAAGCCCCACCTCCAAATGCAGTCACATTGGGGGTGAGTGCTTCAACATGGGGATTTTGGAGGAATATGATTCAGTCATAACATAGGGTGTTCCAGGATCCGTGCCCCAGAATGACCCCAATTCAAATGACGTGCACATCCCAGCCTGTGACACACAGGGTTCCACTCCAGAGATGCCTGACTCTTGCAAACCCCAGAAGAACCAGGCAAAGAAACCCCGTAGCAGGGATTGTGACCCCACCTCCCACCAGTGGCTTCTCCACGTCATTTAGCGCTCTGTGCCCGTGGCTGCCTGGGCCCTGTCCTGCAGCTGAGCCTCTACCCAGCACCCCCCCCCCCCCCCCCCCCTCGCCCCGCCAGCCTGAGCCAGCTCTGAAATGGCAGAGCGCTTGGTCCTGGCGTTTGGGGCAGATAGTCTTATTAGCACCCAAGAGGATGGTTGTGCAGACCCTCGTTACTGCTGTCTTCCTACCAGGCCCTTTGGTACTTAAGAAATCTATTTAGTGGAGCAGTCAAGACAGTTTTGAGCAAACCAGAACACCTGCCCTCCTGCCTCAGAGGCTCTTCGTTTCTGCAGTCTGGCTTTGGGTGTGAGGGTTGTGCCTGGCTGGAGTTGGCATGCCTGGTGCTCACGGGAGCAGCGCGCTCCCTCAGCCAGGCAGTCGGGTTCCGGGTTCGGCTGGGTGGCCTTCACCTCTCAGTGCCTTGCTGCCCTGTCCAAACGTAAGATGAAAACCCATCTCTGATGGCCATTGCGAGGATCAGCTGTGATGTTCTTAGAGTATTCGGATCAGAGCCAAGAGTCACTATTAGCTATTATCAATGTGCTTATTCTGTGTTCTGCATTTTTTTTAGAAATTAAATTTATTAGAGTGACATTGGTCAACATTAATGTATAGGTTTCAGTGTGAGTTTCTGTTACAAGATCTCTATATTGACCGTGTGCCCATCACCCAAAGTCAAACCTTCCTGCTTTCTTACCATGACTTCAAAGAATCCTTTTCTTCTTCATCTCCTACTCATTCTGTTGAATGACTGCATAATAGCCTAGTACTTTACTTATTAGAATTTACCAGATTATTTTTTTTGGGGGGGTCATCAGGTTTAAATTTTTTTTTTTTTCTGTGAGTTTTTTTTAATTCATTGTAAATAAAAAGTGAGAAGTTCCAAGCTTGTAGTAAGTGCATTCTAAGACTACCGCCCATCATTATTATTATTTTTTTGCACACCTTTTCCTCTGCATCAAATTCCTGGTTGTGGGCCAGTGGACCACAGTCCGGCCTGCCTTTCTGGGCTGTCTGTGAGCAGCCATTGTGTTCAGGTAATGTGTTGCCAGGAGTGTGACAGCTGCCAGTTTCTTTACTCTTCACCAGCCTTAGGTGCTAACATTTTATGCATTTTTGCTACTTAGAATCGGGAACATGGCACTTGGTAGCTGTGTGACTGCATTTCTGTGGGATGTTTCCCTGGTGTGAACTGTAGGTTTATATCGTTTGGTGTGGGGCCTTTTGTTCTCCCATCGGGTGACCTGCTGATGTGGAGAGGACCTGAGAATAGGAGGGGTGGGACTAAAGCAGGTGTTCTTTGCTGCTCATGTGGCTGTGTGGTTTGGCTTGACGAGGAGGCTGAAAGGAGGGCCTAATACACCTTGTGTAAAAACAATACTTAGTAAAGTAATAATTTGCTTCGGCAGAGTTCACAGGTGCCAAGGATTGTGCCTGGGTGTTTCAAGTTGCATTTTCTCATTTAGCCCCCAGCCATCTTGAGGTGCAGGTAATATTCTTTTTGTGTAAGAAAACAGGGACTTAGTGAGGTGAGGTAACTTATCCACGACCTCACAGCTAGGATATCATTCAGCCAATATTTATTGAGCATCTATGTGACAAGCATGGTTCCCAGGTAGATTAAGTGGTGAAGTGTATGAGGAACCTGGCTTTCTGACTCCAAAACCTTCTATTTTCCCCACTTCTAGATTACCTAAGGGGACATGCTTCACCATCACCCAGTCAGGGCATGCAGCCCTGTGCCAACAATGTGTGGGCATCCAGGCCTGGAAGCCTTACACTTATTGTTCCTTTTTAAAAAGTTATTTTATAAATAAAGGAAGGAATTCTGAGTGAGGATGCTAGGCTTT